CCGCCCCAGCCCCTGCCGAGCACCGCGCCGGCCCCCGGCCCCGCACCTCCCTCCCTATTTTCCCCGGACATGTCCGGCTTTTTGGGATTTCCCCCCCGACGGGGATTTGAGGCCCAAAAAGCCGGAAATGTCCGGGAAAATCCAGACGTATGGTAACCCTAGTGACTGCACCTCAGCCAATGCACACCATCATTGCACCTGAAAATACCAGTTTAGAGATGGCTTGAGGAAAAGAGCAAGACAGAGCCTTTCCCTCTTGTTGGTGCAAATGCCACTCAACTCCTTGATACGTGAGGTGCAGTACAGCCCAGCACGCAGGATTGGCAGTTCTGACTGAGTTGGGGACCTGAGTGAGGTGTTTTCACATTTTCTTGGGGGTTTCTCCCATTCTTCCCACTGTTTCTGATTGCCCAGACCATCTTCCATCACCTTTCTGATTGCACAACACCCCTCTGGCAACCATAGCAATTGCTTACATAGAAAAGTAATAGGAAACTATTTTTGACTTTTCTGATGATTCCGATGGTCTCTAAAGGTGGCTCCTATTTCCTCTCTTCCTATATAGCAGCAACTACAAGGGGAGACAGCCACGCTACTTTCTCCTTTTGCAGACATGCAAACTCTTATTAAAGGACTCCAATGAAGGACCTGGGTACCTGTAGAAACATCTAGTAGAGACAAGAGACTGTAATCTGCCAGCTCTTGACAGATTGTAAGAAATGTAAGGTCCTCAGTTTGGGAGCTCCTGCCCTTAATGCTCATTAATGAATTCAGGGAAGTCCTCTTGATTTATGTATCAGAGATGATCATAATGGTTTCTTCTGGTCCTAAAATCTGAATTTCAGTGGGAATAAAAGGAGTTCAGCCTTTCACAGGAGACAACCTTGGAGGATTCAGCTCCATGATATTTTTTCACTCGTTGAGTCTCTTGAAATAAGAATGTTGAACGTATGTCCCATCTTTTCTGGCTGAGCTTAGGAACCTTATGCTTGGCTTGTTCATTATGATATCACCAAGAGCAGCCTGTGACGTATTTAGCAGCACTGAGTAGGGCAAAGGACATTCTAGGTTGACTCCTCTTATTATGATGTTACTCACTATTTATCCAGAAGGCAAGTGCAATACAAGGACAGCTTTCCTTTCAAAGAAGACTTAAAATGACTAGATATTACATTATTTAAAATTAATTATTAAAATAGTGGGTCATAAATAATAATAATTAATATGATTAATACCTTATTTCACTTCATTTTCATGCTCCTCTTCTTTCAGTGGTGAGTGCAAAGCAAATAAAAACATGTACAGAATTCCAAAATCTTCAGGTAGCACCTATCTACCTCGGGATGAAACAAGCCATGGCACCAATAGTGACACCTCAGACACAGAAAATCAAAGCCAAGATTTAAACTGGTATGGATAGTTTTCTTTTAAAATATTCAATCTCTGTTAACTTTTGTCATATGTATACAAGTTATACAAATAATAATAAAATCTTTTTTAAAATTCTTAAGCTCCCAAATACATTTACCACTCCTTCATCCATTTAAGAAGAAGGGAAAAGAGAAAAAGAAAACAGTGGCATATTCTCAGGGCCCAATCATGTGCTCATTGAAGTCAGTGGCAATCATTCCATTGATTTCAATTTGTCCTGGAACCTAAATAGGATTTGATTTTGCTTCAAATGAGCAAAGGAGGTGGCAGTTATGTAATATGATATATAAAGTCATAAATATTTGCACTGCTCAGTTATATGATCTAATGAATGACAGATATCCAATAAAGCCATTCTGTTTTGAAGCCTGTAGATTAAGTATTTAGTAACATCTAAGTTATTGAGTAACTTAGTGTTATTGTCATTTATATAAATTGTGGTTTGGAGGATAGCCATTCTTCCTCTGTCAGTAGTGTGTTTTGCTTCCGTTATTGCAAGATGCTCCTTTTTGCAGAAATCAAGTTGATTCTTAATCAAGTTCTGTTTTATAAAGTAATGTCCTTTATTTAATTAGGGATGTGACAAATACTCTATTCATATGTAATTTGTATGCAAATATTGCCATTTTTAAAGGATTTCTATCTGGCCAAATAGTGAATTTGTGAGGGAAAATATGAGCAAAAGAAAGTAAAACTGTGTCTTGGAATCTTTTACTGTTTGAGAGAGTAGGCCAAGTACCCATTTTTCATCTAACCAAATCATTTGCTTTTCCTGCATCTCTGACCATGTCAGGCCCTTCTTCAGTCCCTTCACTAGCTTTCTCTTGATTGCTCCTCACGTTTAACTTGAAAAACGTATTCTCTCCTGAAAGGCCCTGCAAACTTTTCCCCTACCTATTCTTATTCTCAACTGCCGTCCAGTGCTCCAACTCCACCCTTCAGTCTGTCCAAGCCACACCATTTCCTGCCCTCTTCACATTCTTTTCTCACTCCCATCTCTTGTCCTTTCTACATGTTGACCTATCTGCCTAGAACACCCTTTCTGCTAGGGCAGGGATAAATGGTCAGTTTTTAGAGTTGAGAGAGGTAAATACTGGTGCCCTCCAGGGATCTGTACCTGGACCAGTGCTGTTCAGCATATTCATAACTGTTCTGGGAAAAGGGGTAAACAGTGAGGTGACAAAGTTTGCAGATGATACACATTTTTTCAAGATAGTTAAGTCCAAAGCAAACTGCAAAGAGTTACAAAGGTATCCCACAAAACTGGGTGGCTGGGCAACAAAATGGCAGATGAAATTCAATGTCGATAAATATAAAGTAATCCACTTTGGAAAACATAATCCCAACTATACATACAAAATGATGGGGTCTAAATTAGCTGTTATCACTCAAGAAAGAGATCTTGCAGTCATTGTGGATAGTTCTCTGAAAACATCTGCTCAGTGTGCAGAGGCAGTCAAAAAACTAACAGAATATTAGGAACCATTAGGAAAGGGATAGATAATAAGACAGAAAATATCACAATGCCACTATAT